ATTGGACAAACTAAAATCGTTCCGGACCACGGGAGTTTCCGGACCACAGAATGCCGGACTAGAGAGGTACAACCTTGTATTATTTATATAATAAAGCATATATAAGACAAATTATATGTAATACTATAGTATAAAACTATTACAGTCGACCCTCGTTAATTGGACCCCTTTAATCCGGATTTCGGATAATTCGGACAAAATCTGAACTTCTTTTTTTTAGATTTGTAGGAATATTACCTATGCGGACCTTAAGCTAAAATGCTGGTCCACCCACTGCTGGGATAAAACACCAGCGTCTTTTTGGTTAAATGTAACATCTCCACCACTAGTGTGGGGGGGGGGGGATGCAACTTTTAGCTTCAGACATGAAAAATATTTACCATTTACTGCCAGTAAACAATGGAAACGTAAAATATGTACCAATTAGTAATGAAAAGTTGTGCAGTTCCTTCAGCAAATGAAGCTCACCAACTTACAATAGGCTAAATTACCTTACAACGTGTTTTCAGTAGTCTATGTTGAAGTTCTTAGCACAGGCTAACTTATCATATCATATACGGTATCACAGTTCTCATTGATCTACAAAAAATACCGGTAATAAAAACCTTTTCGATATTTTACACTTAATATAATACCCGGTAATCTACTTCAACCTCCTATTGTTTACAACGATGCATGACGCACCACCAGCGGTTGAGTATCAGCTAGACGGTACACGTGTTTTTCGAATTGTTTTCAGTTAAAAACTGTTACATCACATGTATATTTTACCTTAACTGTGCCTGAATGAAAATATTCTCGGAAATAAATAGTAGTTTTGCTGAAACATGATGTATTTTAATATAAAATAGGATAAAATACGTGACGAAAACAAAAGATTTTACCTAACCTTCCGATGTTCAAAAGAAGTTACTCGTTTTTTTAATAGTTTTTGGTTAAAATACTGTTATATTACAATGGTATTCTATTCATACTGTGCTTGATATAATGCATTCACGGAAATGTAATATTTTTGCTGGAATGACGTACGTTTTACAGTGGAAAGTGGGATAAAATCGTGACGAAAACAATGACTTTCGCTTTCTTTCGTTCAAAAGATGTTACCGTAATCGCTTTTCGATTGGTTTTCAGTTAAAAAATTGTTGTATTACAATAATATTCTATCCTAATTGACTTGAATAAATACTTCGATACCATATTTCTGAATATTTTCATCAAAATTCATCCAAATCATTTTCCTTTTCATCGTCTGCAGCACCAAACAGCTTCTCCCAGTCCTCTCCTTGAACAGGGCTAGAGGGTACGTGTTTTTCGAATTGTTTTCAGTTAAAAACTGTTACATCACACATATATTTTACCTAAACTGCGCCTGAATGAATATATTCTCGGAAATAAATAGTAGTTTTGCTGAAATGTGATGTATTTTAATGTAAAATAGGATAAAATACTTGACGAAAACAAAAGACTTTACCTAAGCTTCCGATGTTCCTGAGATGTTATTCGTTTTTTTAGTAGTTTTCGGTTAAAATACTGTTATATTACAATGGTATTCTATTCATACTGTGCTTGATATAATACATTCACGGAAATGTAATATTTTTGCTGAAATTACGTACGTATTACAGTGGAAAGTGGGATAAAATCGTGACGAAAACAATGACTTTGAAATATAATGCAATATTAACCCCTAAATCGGTTAATTCGGACAATCAGCTAAAACGGATACCCTTCCCCCCCTATTAGTCTGAATTAACAAGGGTCGACTGTATTTTAAAAGATCAGAATCACATTTAAATATTTACACGGCCATCAGCAGAGTCAGGAAATATGAAGTTGTTCGCAGTTATATTTCCCGCCTCTGCTGATGGCCGGCCGTAGCCAATCAGCTCTAACTCTTGAGGAGGGGGCAGGGCACCTTTTCTCAGCTGAGAAAAAATGCACTATACAGTAAAAGTCCAAAAATCCGGATGCCAGAAATCCGGACCACCCGAGAATCCGGACTTTTCGAAAAGTAAAACTTTTTTTTTTTTTTTGATTTAGCTGGCTTTTGTGTGTATGTGCGTATGCGTGAGCGCCACAGCTGCACAGTGACAGCAAGCGACCACGCAGTTGCCACTTTAAAATGAGCTATCAAACTGTGACAAAGTATGTAATTTTGAGTCCTTTCTTTCCATTTACAGAGTACTGTACTGTACAAGCCCATAATAATGGCTCCTAAAGTAGATAAACTTCGTTGTGTGAAGAGAAAGAAGAACACGTTGAAACTGAGTGACAAACTTGAAATAATTAAGAAACTAGAACGAGGTGTGAGCAATACTGATCTAATGGAAACATACGACATTGGAAAGTCTTCAGTTTATGATATAAAAAAGGCAAAGAATAAAATTCTAGAATTCACAGCTTTTTCTTTAAAACTGCTCATTTTGATAAATGAAGCATGCTATATTTGCTAATGAATAAACTATCAAAATATACCTGTTCATCTCTTCTTTATTCCTCCTTAAATTTGAATTTTAAAAGTACTGCCTGAGAATCCGGAAAATCTGAAAATTCGGACCAACCCAACCCCCTAGCAGTCCGGATTTTTGGACTTCTACTATGCATTACACAACCCTCTGTACACACACACACACACACACACCTTACTGATGGTGATATTGAAATAGTTTATTTAGATAGAAAATACAGGTACAGAGGGGATAATAACAATATTGACTTGGCTGAACGAATTCTTAGTTTTCGCCTGACATCACATACTCTCATAATGCAACGAGATCCTCTGGCCGCTACCATATTGTAGGCATAGACCCACAACTGTCACCAACAACACGCCATACTCAATGCAAATATTTACTGCTGCAGTTTCGTTTACAACATATTACAATATTATGCAGTAAGAAAGTAGGTGGTGGTAATAAAGAATACACAGTCCTCGAGGAGTGAGACACACACTCACCAGCAGCTGCCTCCTACTTGGCCTTCTCCTTAAGAATGGTAGAGGCGATCTAGGGTGGCAAGTTCAAGTCTCTACCAAATTTTGATGGTCCATCACCACTCTTATTATGCCTTATTTCATCAAGGTTTATGGGCAGTATTAGAGGCAATAACACTGGGGCGTTTAGGCATGATTGTGTAACACGCAAAGTCGTAGACAACAGAAAAACACGAAGTTGGAGGCAACGGAGTACAATGGAAGGTGGAACAGACTTGTTAAAGGAGGGAAAATGACTGCTAGAGCATGTAGAGCCCTCTTGCAGCAAAAAAATACTGCCCCCCCCAACCCTCAAGCACAAGTCTAGTATTGTGATCAATTACTGGAGCAGTAATAATGATTGTTAATAGTGTAAACAGTACAACAAGTGTACTGTACCTCATACTTCCTACAAGTTAGTGTTGTTTACTTTGTTACTACTGCGTCACACACACGCCACTTCACGAACATTCTCGACTGTTTCTAGCCCAGGTGTGGCAAACCTGTGGTAAGGTCTTTTATTTATTTCCTGTTTATATCATGGATTTTCAGTTTGTGAGACTAGAATTGCTTTCTATTTATTTATTTTTCTTAATGTTTCCTAATATACCCACCTGGGAGGGGAGGGGTTGCCGACCATAGCCCAATACCCACTGGTTAATGAACACTAAATATTGTACAACAAGTACTCTGTATTTGTTCCTGGCTGTCTATGGTCCTTTGTTTTGTTTTTAGTTCTGTACTTTGATTGGTTCCCCACAGTCAGTGTACATGAGTATTATTGGGCAGCTTTCCATGATCTCTTGAAGGTATTTGCCGGGGAAAGAGCAGGCGATACCATAAAATAGTTCCTTAGTTTCCTATGTGGAATTACTGTTACCTACACCCACAGTGCTCATTCCTTCACCCACCAAATTACGAAATAACAGATGTGTTCCATAGATTTTATCACAGAATGATTAAGCCTTCTGTGTAGTGTTTTGTAAATATTATTTTATGGATGAGATGAGTGAAGAAGTGTGAATGAGTGATTGTTCAGTGGAGAGGAGGTGGGGAGAAGGTAACCAGAGTGGTCTTTCAGATGAGTTACATGTTGGGTCAAGATAACAATTGAGTCATTAGAAAACCAATAAAAAAAAATAGATGCCACTTGAACAAGTCACTTCAACAACTTTTTGCTGTATATATGTACAGTGAACCCTCACTTTACGCGGTCAATTGAACCCACGGCGGCCTGCGTAAAGTGAGAAATGCTTAAAGTGAGCAACATAACATATGGGATTAATTGAAATAGAGACAGGGCCGACCTCCAAACTCCACTTTTTCAGACACAATACCTACGTTGTAGTAAAAATAACTTCTTATTTTATGATGGTATGCACACACAATTAATAATTAAGAGAAATATCAATAATATTAGGCTTTCTAACACTTACATTAGTAGAAAAGATGGCTGGGCACACTGGGATGGGGGGGTTGGTTCCGAGGCAGAGGGCAGATTATTGGCCCTCACCTGTATCACTTGTATCAATTGTATCACTATCCACCACAGAGGCTTGCAGGGCCTCTTTGTCAAACCCCTCAAAGTCCATATAAGTCCATATCCTCACTATCATTATCACTATCACTGACTTGGGCCGGCTGTGGTGGGTGGCGGGTGAAGAACTCGGTAATGTTTTGATGACTGGGCGACCTTGTGAGCACCCTGCTCGCGCCGCTCTCCGCGTAAAAGGGTACACACACCGTGGAAAGTGAGCATTCCGTGTTCGGCAGGGTACCGCGTAAACGTGGAAACGCGTAAAGTGGGACCGCATAAAGCGAGGGTTGACTGTAATGTAGTGAATTTTTGTTTACATTTATTATTTCACAAGTTTGATTCAATGGTATTCATACAATATATGATAATGCAGTCTCTACAATAGCTAGTTTAGATGCACAAGAAAGGTGAAATATTATTAGGTAATAGATAGCTTAAGATCAGATCCAAATCAATTATGATTTTGATGACCTATTCTGCTTGTTGTTTCAGCTAGTGGTTCAGGAGCTCGACCACGAGACAACAGTGTTACTAGCGCTCCAGACCGTAGTCTCGGCGAACAAGCGGCTTCGTTAACTTCTCCTGTTGCCCGAATCTCGGCCTTGCGTCGCACAACCCACGCTCTTAGAGTCACTATGGCAAGAGCAGTTGTGATGAGAGCTCTCTCCCTTCTTGCCCTCAGTGGAGGTTCGTGTGACTTGTGGGCCGGGCTAGAAGCTCTCGGGTTGTGTGATGTTCGTCTTCTGGTTCGCTTAATGTGGTTGGTTGCTCAAGGTAAGGCACTTTTATCACCACTCTTGATTTATTTACTAATTAATAGTATTTTTCATGAACTGATAAAAAATAATAATATGTTGAGGATAAATCTAAAGGATTCAAATATATTTCTTCCAATAAATAAACAGGACGGGTTCCACTAGATGGTTGTGCAAGAACATGTGGTGCTGTTTTACAAGCAACAGATGTTAATACAAGTCTGGCTCATCTTAGTGATGCTATTGGAGCTCTGGCACAGAATGACACCGACGCTGCAAAGTTATTATTGCAGTTATGTACTCAGGTAAGTTCACCTTGCTTGACCAACTTCACAAATGCCAAACCCTTAAAACGCACTTCAGGCTGACCTCTTATTTGTGATACACAAACTAACCAAGTTAAAGTTTATGCAATTAACCCTTACACTGTGCACTACAAATCTGTGGCTGTCTCTGCTCTCCACAAAAAATTAGCTCTTTAAGTTTTTAAATTTTCCTAATGTAAATATTTATATACCTTATAAGATGAATACCTTGGTCAGGCTGACAGGCTGGTAATGTTGCCTCCATGAGCTTCATGCAGCAAGTGTTCCTACAATGCTCTATGATACACAACTATTGAAACTCTGTATTTATCACTTATTTACCTAATGACCACCACCACCCAGGGGCAGATCCAGTAATACTGTATCCAGTTGATTTGGGGGTTGGGAGGCACTATAAGCCACCTGATATGTTTTTGAGATCTGACCAATATCATGGGCATTTTGAGGTCATGTGCACCTGATATTAGAAGAGATTCTGAGGTCAATAGTAATTACCTTTTACCATAATTTACATTAACTGAAAGTGGAAGATGATCAGAATAAAGAACAGTTCCAACAAAGGGAAATGTCCAAATTATTACATAGAAATGAAATAGAAGTTAGTCATGCTGCTTCGGTCATTTTTCTGTATGAACTTTTGGCAAATGGCATCAATACCAATATCGCAGCACTGGTGAAGGTGCATCAGTGAGTCGCTCCTCTGACATGATGGCTCACAGAAAGGTTTTTGCTCTTCTGAGTCCACAAAATGATCTTTCTGCTTCACAGCTTCCAATTGGTAGTGTGCATCATATTCTAAGCAGGACGGCAATATTTGGAAACTGATCCCCATCCACCACCTTGAGGCAGCTAAGCAGGCTGGTACGCAACTGGTCGGCATTCTGCCTTTGAAAACAGAGTTACACACGTTCAGATCTGTGTTCTATGACTGAAGATATCTGATACAAAAAGGACTGACAGTAGCATGTATATTTTCGCCATTATGAATATTATTACTGTACAGCAACAAAAGAAACATAAAATGCCTTCCAATTTCATATTTCACTTTAACTAAATCCATTTATAAAACATATACACAAAATATGGCTGTTCTCAGCTTGCATGGACAGTCTGTTAGGTGCCATATGGGAGACTCAGATATTGTATATTAATATCTGCAATTGAAAAACAAAGCAAATGACTTACTGATTTATTCACATACCTGTCAATGGGTCATCCACTCCTACAGCTCATTAACGAGGGAAGAAGGAACTGGAAGATCTGCCTCCCAAAACTTCAGCTTCAGACAAGTGTCTTCAATATCAAAGCAATTCATAGTGTTAACTGGAAGCAGGGAAAATATTGCTTGGCTTGGATGAGTGTCTTTAGTTTTGAATCTTGTTTTTATCTCCGAGATAATGTAATCATTGAAAGGGATTGTAACATTCCTTTTGAAATGTTCCTGTGTGAAACTTGCTGCAGATTACCCCTGTGTTGTTGCCTTCCTGTGATCCTTGGAATCTTAATTGGACATCCAACATCATCTGCCATTCTCTCACAGGCTGTGTACCATAAAGTAAACTCTGTGTCAAAATTGGACCTTATTTCTTGAAGCCTTGCAATTGCACTTTGAACCAGTAGATAGGTTTGGTAAAGTCCTGATCTCGTTTTTGCAGTTTTGTTGCCAGAGATCAAAGAACTTCCAACATGCTTCTCATAGTTTGGAAAGCCACTGTGTTGGTAGAATAAGAGCCCTTGAGCCCTTACCCTGGTATCACAATCCCAAGATCAATTTTTGACCTGATCAACATCAGCACCCTCAGTTTGATTCCATCTGTACATCTCTGGGAATGAGAGTAGGTCAGTAATGCAATCCAGGGTAAGAGCCACATGTGAGTACAGTTCTTGAAAAGTATCAAGGCATGTATGTCTTTCCACCCATCCTGTATTACACAGTCTTTTAATTTTGGATACTTGCCAGGATTCATTATTCCTCTCCAAAACTAGTTCCAGCATTCTTTGTTGTTTTGGTGAAAGTTCAAAGAACAAAAATATTTTGTTCAGTAAATCATCTATGTTATGGATGGAAGCAACCCTGCAAGAAGATGCAATGCTGAGGATTAACACATGACTGTAACAATGTGTGTATAATGCAGTTGGCACTAGGCTCTTGAGTCTGCCATGAACTCCTGCCTTTTCTGATGACATGACACTTGCTCCGTCCGTCATAGGGCTGTCCACGAATTTTGTGTACTGTATGTCCAGACCACTCTGCTTCAGTGAAGAAATTACAGCATTAGTTATGCTCTCACCCTGAACACAGTCTGAAGATTTCCTTGATTTCTGTTTTTATTTGGTCAACAAACTGTCAGCACTTCTTGATTGGCAAACTTATCTGTAACTTCATGCTGTAAGGAACCTGAGAATGTTTTTCTCCTTTTCCTATTCAGATGCGTGAAATCAAAGGGCCCGCCAGCTGCAATTGCTTATACTAGTGATGCTGGCGTCACCACTAACAAGCCCGGCATCCTCCGTGCGCAGGGCGTGTTTATTTTTTTTATATAGGGATTTAGTTATTATTTATACGAAAATGTAATATATATTTTTTTAATTTCGTTGTAAATACGAAGAAAATAATGGCGTAAATTGAATTGGGTCCTAAATTAAACAGGGTCTTAGATATGAATCTTCGTTAATTGAACCGTCGTTATCGGAGGCTCTGTTGTACAGTACAGTGTGAGTAGAGGTGATGTGTTAACGATGATTGTGTTGCAGCACTTAATGGTAGCAGCCATGGGGATGTCCAGTGGGGACATTGTTGGAGGCTCAGCAGAGGAAGAAGTGGTTGACTTGAGTCTTGGAGGAGAACGTCGGGACTCACAGACCAGTTCCAGCACACACCAGACCAGCTTCCCCGTCACCCAGGCTCTGGTGTCTCTTCTCGCTGCCAGCTCCTCACTAATCCACCTGGCTGGGAAAGGTACAACAAATTACAAACACTAACTTTATATAATAAAAATTTCCTTGACATATAAAACCATTTGATTGTTACAATACAGTATACTTGTACTTACGTGTGTGTTTATTTCATAAACTGTGATCACTATACAATGAACTCATGAACATAAAACTGGAAACATGAAGTTGGAATCTTGGGAAGTGCTATGCTAACAAGTCGACTTTTAAGACCATTACAAATTCACCTTCGTAGCTCCAAGTTCTCTTGGGACGGAAGATTTATTGTAAGACTTATTGGGGTTTTGCCTCTACATTTAAGTCATACTGACAACGTTTAGTCTTAAATAATACGATGTTGTGTGTGTTACCTTGACCGGTTACACCCTGGATAGGCATTTATTTTATTTCCTGACATACACTACTGTAATCCCAAAAGTTAATAAAAATTAGGCAGCTAAATAAAAGTAAGAGCTATTGATGAGGATTGATCGTGGGACGACTCAATGGTTTGTTTGAGGGGAGGTTCTGGGAGAATTGTTCCTCCTGGCATCACTTGCACAACACCCCATGTAACCCAGGTATTCCTCTATATTATTTAATTATATATTAATATTACAACAATTGGTGGAACAATTGGTGTAGAGCACTTCCAGGAATGAGAGATTTCCGGGTAACGAGACGACCCTCCTGAAGCTGGAAAATATCCCCCATTTCCGGAATTTTCCAGGTACCGAAATACTTTTCTCTGAAATTCTGGAAAGTGCCTGATTTTCATCTCTCAAACCCGGAAAAACTCCCCCATCCCCGGAATTTTTCGGGTACAGTAGACTCGCAACTTATGCATATTTTTCTAACGCGGTTTCAATTATACGCGGATTACCCCGGGAGTTAGGTTACAATTTCCAGTTTCAAACTCAAAATTTTCAAAAATTTTATGTCTAATGCAAACTATAGCTTGGTTATACTCAAATTAATCACCATCTTATAAGAATCCCAGCAATGTAAATTATATTCTTCCAGGTCAGTTCAGTGACATTTTATAAGCAAAAAACAAAAACACTCTAAAGGACATAAATAAATAAATAAATACTTCACTAGACCTTCCTGGGCCACCTCCCTCCTCCCCCCTCCCCCCATCTTCCCAGCCAGGGTTTTTTTTTTTTACACGGGGACCAGCCCACCCGGGCACAGGTCACTTACCCATATTAGGGCCTGGGGGCGAAAACATAATTATAATTATAAGAAGAAGAATAACTATTATTATTATTATTATAATAATAATTAAAAAATTATCAACAAAATACTAAAAATAAAAATAAAATACTAAAAATATTAATAATAACCATAAATAAATAAACAAAAACGAAGAAAATAAATCAAGAATGAGAAACAATATATGTTTGTTGTGTTGTCAATAATAAGAGAAACAATTGAGACCCTGCAATTGTGTGTAAATGAGGCAGAAAGTCAGATGAGCAACCTGGGACTTGGTCACAATTTTCGTGATGCCATATGGCAGCAGGGTCTACCATTAGACAACACATTATGCTTCCAATATCTTCCCAGGCGGCAGTACTTCCCTGTTTGGTAACTTGCATTGCTGGAAACCTTGCAAGACAGCGAATAATTTGAATCTAGACATTATATATTTTGCACAAGAGATAAAAATTTTAGTACATTAGTGGAGTACATTTTAGTAAAAAAAATTTAACCGTATTTTTGGGTAGATTTACATAGATATCTTCATTTATTTTTATTAATTTTCATGCACACACCATACTAGAAGAAACATAAAGGAAATAATTGATCTAAGTCCAAACCTGTACTGTACACGTACTAAATGATTACGGTACTAAACTTTTTGTCGAGTGCAAACTATAGCTTGTTTATATTAAAACTAATCACTATCTTATAAGAAATGTAAGTTATATTCTCCCAGGTCAGTTCAGTGACATTTTATAAGAAAAAACGTAAACTCCTCTATATGACAGATAAGTAAATACTCACTGTATAAACCTTTGCGCCAGCTATCAAAACATCTCATATCCCCTCCCCTCCCGCCTCCCCTCCCTCCCCCCTCCTCCCTCCGCCTCCTCCTCCGCCTCCCTCTCCCTCCCTCCTGGCTCCACCATCTTCCCAGCCAGGTTTTGGTGAATTTAGGCTTAGAGTTTTTATCTTATATAATAACTCAGAATAAATTTAGGAGAATATAATTTGCATTGCTGGAATCCTTGCATGACAGCAAATAATTTGAATATAGAAATCATATATTTTGCACAAGAGATAAAAATTAATCACCTGTATCACATTACAGTAGTGATTTATGAAATCTAGTGCATATATATATATATATATATATATATATATATATATATATATATATATATATATATATATATATATATATATATATATATAATATATATATATATATATATATATAATATATATATATATAAATCCTCAAAATAAACAACGAGCACCTTAGCTTTCGTTTTATTCAAGACATCTTAGTTGCCTCTGAAGATGTGAACAAGCAGCTCCCATTTCACGAATCAAGTATCTTATCCACGTTTTCATTGTGGATTTACCAAATATATATATACAGTATTACCCGCCTAACGTGGTTTCATATAGCTTTTATCATACAGGTGCCTCGCCCGAAAGACCATCTGTTACCCGTGAAATATTTTTTTTTTTTAGTAACTGAAGAATATTTGTTTTAGCTCATAAAATTCATACAAATTACCGATCAGAATATAATTTACATTGCTGGAATTATTATATTTGATGATCATTTTGAATATAAACATCATATATTTTTATTTAGACATACAAATTTAGATAAAATGTTTTCTAATTAACTATGTTATCTTTGTGCAAAATATATGACATTTATATTCAAAAAATATTTGAGAATCCAGCAGTGTCAGTGTATTATCTAATCTGAGGCCAAAATGTTGGGTATTTTTTCACCCCTCCTTCTCTTGGTGGGGGTTGGGACAGGTTGGAAGGTGCAGTGCTTTTGATTGGCAAGACTAGTGTCGTGAATTATTTTTTTTACTTAACTGAAGATATTTGTTTTAGCTCATAAAATTCATACAAATTACCGGTCAGAATATAATTTCACATTGTGGAATTCTTCCATAATTTGGTGAATCATTTTTGAATATAACATCATATATTTTGCATTAGACATACAAATTTTAGATAAATTAGGGGAGGAGTTGAGTCCATTATTTGAATGGACATTAACTTGGCACTGTATTTCTATTTCTCAAGTATTAATTGTGTGCATGTACCATCATAAAATTAAGATGTTATTTTTACTACAACATAGGTATGTGCCTTCAAAAGTGGAGTTTGGGGCTGGCCGGTTTCTATTGGAATTAATCCTATATGTTCTGTTGTTCACTTAATCATGATTTTCACTTTAACGCACCCTCTGGGGTTCAATTGACCAAGTGGTATACTATATATATATATATATATATATATATATATATATATATATATATATATATATATATATATATATATATATATATATATATATATATATATATATATATATATATATATATATATATATATATAATAGTAGTATGTATAACGAACGTAATTGGTTCCAGAACCTCGTTCATTATAGCATTCGTTCGTAGGATTAATCCATTCCAGGCCCCAAATACAACCCGTTAACACTGAAAAAATTCTGTGGAAAAATGTAAAAAATAATGTACTTTATCTTACCTTAGTGTTATTCAGCATGCAGGTACCCTAAACACTGGCACATCACTATCACTTCCACTGGGAGTCTGGCTTTAAGGTCCTCAAACAATTGTTTAGCCACAAATTATAGCTTCACTAATGTTACACCTGCCATTTTTTTCCTTTATCCACACTAAGAGTAAATTTTCCATCTCTTCAATCACATTACACCTTGCTTTGCTAAGTCTAAAGATTCTAGCCACTTGCACAGTTTTTAACCTCTTATTCTTCAAAATCGTACATATAGTCGATTTAGCCATCCCATATTCATCACAAAGTTTCGTAATGCTTTTCCATTCTCACGCTTTCTTTTATAATTTCTTTCTTAGTTCATATTAGCTTTCACTGCTGGATGAATCTATTGTTACAATTGTATACTTGTATAACAAAATAGTTATACAAATAACGCTAATTTCACATCAAAAGACTTGAATTCAACAATAACAGGTGCACTGGCTACACAATGAGAGAAAAGATGGCGCTGGGTTTCTTGTTGTGGGTCGCGTACAACAATATTCATGCGCCAGGCGAAATAGTCCGTATTCATCCGTCACAGGAGTTATGTCATAGCATTCTCAATTTTATAGGTAAAACCGCT